ACACATTTGGATGAAATAAAAATGGTCTGGATTTGCATAATTATCTCAATGAATAGATTCAGAGGCCAAATCTCAGACATCTCTCTCCTGGGGCCTAGTTTCCCACCCACGCTTGTTCATTCCAATGGGAAATAAGCTTGTTAGTTCCAATGGGAGCCAAAGGAAACGACTGGTGTCCTGCGAGTACCACAAAGAGGACTATTGATCCCCAAATATTATTACATTAAACCCTTTCACTCTTTCATAACCTTGCTTCTTTCTTTTTTCTTAAACATTTATTTTTATTTCAGAGAGGAAAGGAGAGAGAGAGAGAAACATCAATGATGAGAGAGAATCATTCATCCGCTGCCTCCTGCATGCCCCCTATTAGAGATCGAGCCCACAACCCAGGTATGTGCCCTTGGCCGGAATCGAACCTGGGACCTTTCAGTCCGCAGGCCGATGCTCTATCCACTGAGCCAAACCAGCTAGGGCATCACCTTGCTTCTTACCATCCACTTTCACCCATGAGCTCCAGCTGCTCCAGACCCTCTGGTGGGGGGCCCAGGCGTCATCCTCCTTCCCCCATATCCTTACAAAGTGTGTCGCACATTCCAGAGGCAGCTCAGATTCCCATGTCCAGTGCAGGGTCTGGTTCTGCTGCACAGTGGTGCTATAGTTCTCCTGGAAGTCAAGAGAAACCGTTGGGAACACAGACATGCTGTCCCTGCAACTCCATAGCATGAGCCAGGACGGGCCATCCTTCCCAGCCGGCTCCCCGTGCTCCGACGACGACTCAGCGAGGAACCAGCCAGAGCCTCTTGCTTCTCAAAGACTTGGCTCCCACCACCCTGGGGCTCCAATTCCAGGGAGTCCGAGTGGAGCAAGTGAAAGGAAATGGAAGCAACTCATTCTCAGGGGAAGAAACCAGAGATGAAGGTGTTCACAGTGCTGGTCACACAGGACCTGCTAAGAAAAGTCTTGCCAGCTGGTAGAGAATTACTTGAGTCCTGCTTTTAAAAGTAAGCAAGATTGATGGGTAAGGTGTTATGTTCATTTTTAGCCAGGGCCTGATCAGGTCAGACAAGTCCCGGTAGAGAAAGCCATTCTCATGGTGCCGGGAGTTCAAAGGTCTCCCAGAGGTCAACAGATGTCTCCCTTAGTTTTTTTGTCTCTTCTCTTCACAGAGATGGTGGCCACAGGGACCATATCCCCTCCCTCAAGCTCCATCTATCAGAATCTTAGTTCCCAGAGATGTCAACCACCCAGGACTGGCTCATACCGTTCCCTGGGAAGCTCATCCACGCAGAACTGCAGTTTGGTCATCCTGTACAGCTTTAGTCTTCAGCTTCCTAAGACACTGGGACTTTATTCTCTAACTAGAGGCCCAGTGCATGAAAATTCATGCACTGGAGGGGTGTTCCTCAGCCTAGCCTGCCCTCTCTCACAGTCCAGGAGCCCTCAGGGGCAGGAGGTGACCTGGCGATCAGGGGAAGGCAATGCCCCATCACACTTCTGTTGCTGCCACTGCCGGCAGCACAAGCCTGGGCCAGCCCTGGTTACCTGAGCCTCAGGCAACCCTGGGCAGCTGGGGGGCTGAGGGTACTGGGGGTCTCCGAAGGCAGGCACACAGAGCGGCACCCTCCATCTTTGAGGGCATGGCAGTCAACTAGCATATTCCCTCCTTATTGGCTGTGAACTCCACCATATTTTAGGGCAGGGCAGTCAATTAGCATATTGGCACCCTCCATCTTTGAGGGCATAGCAGTCAACTAGCATATTCCCTCCGTATTGTCTATGAACTCCGCCATATTTTAGGGCAGGGCAGTCAATTAGCATATTCTCTCCTTATTGACTGTGGGTGCTGCCATTCCCTCCTGCATCTCTCTCATATTTGGCCACTCTCTTGGGAAGATGTGCTGATGTTGGGGTTTCCATAGCTCCTCTACATCTCACCCGTCATTCTAGGGCACCAACAATCTACTCTGACCCCCCTCTCCCTGCAGGAATCTTCTCTGGATACCGTGGCCCACCCCCATTCTGCAATAACTCACTGTTTTCCCACCTCCGTGTGGGCTCAGCGCCCCCACGCTCCCTCTGCCCTGGAAGCAGCCCCCCTCTCCTTCAGGAAGCCTTCCATGCTCTTTCCACTGGCTCCCTCCCCGCCTGCTCTCCTGAAGCCGCCCAGCACACTGTGCACAGCTGCCGGCATTCCACCTGTGGCTGTGCTCCTGACTCATGGCCCCAAGAGAGAGAGACCGTTAGGCAATCTTCACACACCACAGCTCCAGGCACCCATGCAGTGGGCTCTCCAGACACCTGCATTCTGGCCCCACAGCTGGGAGAGGGAGGCAACAAACCACTGGCGCCCCCTGGGGAAACTGAGTCTGCATCCAGGGCGCTAAGGGCCAATGGCAACCCCCACAGTGAGGGGGTGGGCAATGCGCATGCACGTTGCACAGCCTGGAGTTGGTAAATGCCAAGGTCTTCTCTCCCCAGGAGTCCCTCCCTTCCTGGATGCTACCTTTGCACACCTCAGTCACCTGGGCGCACCTCACCGCGCCCCTGATCGATGCAAAACTCCGATGTGTACATCGTTTATATTTTATTCAGTGTGTGGCATCCCTTCATTTCTAGATTATAAAACATATGTTGTTAAGTACCAGTTTAGTGGACCTGGCCATTAATCACTATTTAATCTGAGAAGTTCAAGTACATTTTGCTTCAATATTGTTCAATGTACAAAGAAGAGGAACTGTACCCATCATGGTGACCTTTCTATAATATCAACAAGCCACAAACTGTCCCTCCTGCATCTCTCTCATATTTGGCCACTCTGCCTCCACTGCCCTCCACCCCCATGCGCCTCTCCTCTGGACCGACCCCACAGCCTGCTGCTGGTCACACGTGGCCTCCTCCTGTTCCCCTACCTGCTCTCCACAGCACACGTAGAGGAGGCTATTTAAAAACTTACAATCAGATCCTGCCACTCCCATCTTTTCACTGACCTCGGGATAAAGACATTTTTTGGCTCAAACAGCCCTTCTTCCCAGTTGCTGGAAGTCAGGCCGCACCCTAGCCTCACAGCACTGGTCAGTGACCCTCCCTCGGGCAGGACACCCTTGTCATGAGCATGTCGGACCCTCGCCTTGAACAGTGCCCGGACCTGGGCCCATGGTCTAAGGCAGTGGTTCTCAACCTTCTGGCCCTTTAAATATAGTTCCACATGTTGTGACCCAACCATAAAATTATTTTCGTTGCTACTTCATAACTGCAGCGGCTTGGCTTCTCCCCAACACCATGTGTGGGCAGTGTCTAACCACACTGTGCTTTGTGGTGTTTACAGCCTTGGAAAGAGGAGAGAAAACTTTCCTTGAATGCATCAATCCTGTGATTTTTTTTAACGTGATGAATTGTGTTTGGGCTGTTTTCATGAACTGGTTAGTATGAGGTGGGAGGGTGGGAAGATGTGCTGATGTTGGGAGGTGAACAGCTCTCCGTAGACATGGCTGGTGTTATAATCAGAACACTGAACAGCTCTCACTGGGGGTAGAGTTATATACCTGCTGTCCATTCTACGTCGACAGAGTCAGAACTGTATTCCACTCAGACCTCAGATGCAGGCGTGAATGAGGGAAGTCACTGGAGGCTTTACAATGAGTGGCCTTCCTGCTTTCCTGAAGGAGCTAGCCATCGGGACTCCGGGACCCCGGCCTCCACGGCCCGAGAGGAGTGGCCCTGCACTGGGTAAAGGGAGGTCCCAGTAACGACACGACCCGTGTCTGCCGTCTCTCCAGGCAGCCCCTCCACGCCCCTCCAACAAGAAAACATGCCGCCCTCCTCCATCCCAGGACAATGCGTGAACGGATGCGCCGGCAGATTAAGGTGCCCATGACCATCCATGACCATTGAAAGAAACCAGCCAAGTGCCCGCTGCACTAGACGAGGAAGCATCAGGCAGAACGGACACGGCCATGAGAGGAATCAAGACGAGCGAAAAATCCAACCAAGTAATTCAAAAGCAGAAGTGTGGCATCAGGGTTTTCTTGACTTAATTTGTTACAGGAAAAGCCACCAGTGATGTGACCAAGGCCACCATGATGAAGTGCTTTCCGGCCAGAACACGAAGGTGCCGGACTCATTCTTCCTTGCTGTCAGCACAGTGCAAGCAAAGACTGACTGGAAGCCACACTGGCAAGAAAATGTTGCCAAAATTACATCTTGTTGACAAAGTCTCTGGTGGAACGGGAAGAAAGAAGGAAGAGGACTAAGCTGGTTGATCTTCACAGACGGGGAGTCAGTACTCACTGGGACCGACCCAACAGCCTTCTGAGGGGCCCCGCAGGACCGAAGAAATGAGCTGTTCATGTGTCCCATCCAACCTGCCCAACCAAACTGTCAAATTACTTTGTCCCCGATCCTCTTCACTAAAAACACAGAAATGCGACTGTTTAGGAACGCTGTTTTACGTTGCTAACGTGTTTCCATACTGGGATCTTCTGTATGTTATAAAAGAAAATTGGTGGCACCAGAAAAGGATTTTTAAAATATAGAGTCAAAACAAAACAAAACTTACCACCCAGATGACATTGGATTTGTTAATTCTACTGATCTCAATCTGAAAAGCCATTTTCAATTCCGGATGAGTCAGGTTGTGGACACTCCATTTTAGATGCAAACGCTGCTGTGCGGAACTGATGGACACATTCAGCGATAAAGGTTCGGACGAGACTGAAAGACCAAAGCGAGACATGAAATGACAATGGGAGTAGGACTGGATAGCCACAGGTCAGTATTGTTCAATGTCATCAGTGTTTCGCTTTGAAAGGCACAGCTCACGTGAGCATCCTAAAGTCAGACACCTTGAAAAGCTGGGAGTTTAGAAATCACTTGAAGATGAAGAAATTAAGACTTACATGAATGAAACGATTTGCTCAATGATACACAGCAAGTTAATATATTGATAAATAGTGAAACAAATAATACAAACAATAAATAATTAAGTTGCACAGATTTATCCAACAATGAAACAATAAAGGACACTTCTTTGGACACTATAACTGGCTTGGAAATTTACAGCAAGGCTGAACAACAGGACTTGTTGCTATCAATTTCATATTTCTGGAAGTCGAAAATGAAAGCTTATTTTGAAAGTCAGTATTTTGTTGTTCATTATATAGCTACAAAGTGGGAAACAGCCCATCTCAATGCACAGAACTTAAAACACCTCTGGCAAGAATTCACTGAACTTTCTGGATGAGAGCAGCACCCGGAACATATGAGGCATTTGGTGTGAAATAAAATAATCGTGACAAGGTTCCTTGCTCGAGGAACGAACCTATTGGAGAGACACAACTGACTCTTGAAATAATGAGAGATTTTCAAGGTGTCTGACTTTAGGATGCTCATGTGAGCTATACCCTTCAAAGCAAGTGTAGGGGGGTTAGTGGTGTAACAGAATCTGTGAAAGAAGAGATTCAAACATGAATCATACCTGCAGAGGCCAGTGGGCTCAGGAAGCAGCCCAGCTCAGGATAGGCCCCGAGGGAGGGAGTTACATCATCTTCTAAGCATACATTCTTCTAACTAAAAGGAGACTCGGCAAGATGAAAGAGCTGGTCCCTTATGGAACTCGGGCGAGGGGCCGGGGGGTGGGTCATGTTTTTAATCCTTGTGGAGCCAATGGCACCAGAGAAAGCGGGGTGCATGCAAAATCCCCCATCTTTCCGAGCTCTTATTTCATTTTGCCTGTTTGTTGTTGTTGGTCTCACTCTAGATTCAAATTCCCTGAAGGACAGAGGTTGATGCTTATGCGTCTTTGGATGGACTCTTGTCCCCAGCACTTGGCACAGTGTCTTACCCATAGCGCACGTTGATCTCAAATGACAGAGATCCAGGATCTCCGCGAGGTCTCAAGTGCCTGACAAGCCATTCCTCACTAACACCTCCATGTGTCCTGCCTGGTGTTCTCTGCTCTCCGTGGCTGCTTCGCGAGGCCCTTGTTTGAGCACTGATCGCAGGGCACTGTACAAGTCTGTTGTGTGTTTGTCTCCCCATAGACTGCGAGCTAAACAGGGGTGAGACCAAGGCTTACTCAGCTCAGTGAAACCCAGACCAATACCACACCTGTCCCAGCACAGGCATCAGTGACTGTCTGCTGAATGAACCAGTTAACTACTGGTATCAACTTTATTTCTGGAAACTCTAGCAAACTACTGGATGCTGTGTCAGACGGAAGGGGAAGTCCTAGACTGGCATATGCATCAGCAAGTGTTGAGTGACTCAAATACTGGAGAGACATCAGTCAGTGAAAATAATTTGGTCAAAGGTCATCTAGGACTTCCTTGGGAAATAGTGGGGAAGGCCAAGGTCAAGTCAGAGAGCTAAAGGGATTTAGAGATTAAGTCCAATCCCATTGTTTTTCAGATGAGGAAATTGAGGTTAAAAAAAAAAAGGAAGTGACTTTCCCAAAACCGCACAACTTGACCAGAACCCAAGGCCCTTGGCCCTCGGCCCAGCGCTCTTTCCCCAGCGCTGTCCTGGAGTATTGCCAGAAAGGCAGGCTTGGGAATCAGACTGACTGGTTCAGTCACAGCCCCTCCTCCCACCTTCCCATCCAGTTTCTCTGTCTGGCCCCGACACCACTTAAGGAAATAAACCATGGTCCATTCACAAGATGGGACTCGATGCAGCCATTTAATATAATGTTATTTCTAGAAGAACATTTAACCTCAAAGGTAACAACTCTCACTGTGTGTTGTATTAATCATCTTAATAAGGATATACTATATTAAAGTACATATACTCGTAAGTATACAGGGGTGGGCAAAAGTAGCCTACATCTATGAGTACATAAAACAGAGTTTATTTTTCTATTATTTATTCTTGTATTATATACTTTTCCATACAAAGAACTATAAGCCTACTTTTGCCCACTGCTGTATAGAGTATATTTCCCCAGTATACATACTTATGCTATATACTCTATACTCTATGTACTTTAATAAGTATATATTTAACATAAGTACATGTACTCTAATATATACATATATACACACACACTCAAATACATACATATATATGTATATGCATATATAAACACACACACACACACACACACACACACACATGTAAGTATAAATATCCCCAGTACAGACAGCATAATTTCACTTCTGTAAAGAAGTCTGCACATTTACATCTTTATCTCTGTCTGTGTGCACATACACACAAGAGACTGGAAGAAAAGCCAGCCAGAGGCTACCATCCTGGTCTCTGGTGATGCAGAAGTGAGCCCAGGGCTAACGCAGGGAGCCCTGGTCCTGCTCCCTGGCCAGGAGTAGCTTCTTCATCTGAAATGGAGGCTCACACCTGAGCTGGTGGGTGGTCCCGTGGGAGGACACTAACATGAGTGGGGAGCCTTAGTAAGTACTTGGTTGGATGCAGCAGAAATGGAGGAAGAAATCCAAGTAGTGTAGGCGGGGACGAACACAGGATTACTTAGCAATGCAGGCATGCCCGGCTGAGAAAGCTGCAGGCAGAAACAAGGCTGGCGGGAGAGAAACAGGCAGGCGCATGTCTGGTCTAAACAACAGGAGCTGAGGGGGACAGAGAGCAGAGGTCTTGTGAGGAGAAGGCACACAGCAAATAGCCCTCGGGGCAGATAATGAGAATTCCCTGGGGAAGTGTGGTGCCGAAGGCTCGGCTACGTGCCTGGGGTCCTCTGAGGTGGGATCCTGCGGCCAGCTGGGTCACCCTGAGATATTCCTGAGGTGGGGGATGGGTAGACATACTACAGATAAGAAATCCTATTTCCTACCGTTCAGCTCCAGATTAGGGAAGACACCAACAGTCAAACGATGATTTTTAACAAGCCATGAAAGTGGCATTTTCCCATGTGCCCTGAAAGAACTCAAGCCAGACCTAAAGAATCTCAGATAGAAAACTGAACTCTTATCAGAACAAAATCTCCTTTTCTAAAAATTTCCAAATATCTTTCCATGGAGATTTAGGGAAAACTGCAAAATTCTATGGATGTTCCTCGCAAATGTCTTCTTCATGAATCCACGGACAGGAGCTGTCTGGGTAGTTACAGAGAGCATGTGCCTTCCTCTATCTTAGGAGGGAGTGCAGAGAAAAGTAAAACACGAACAGAACAGTTAGAGCTTTGTAAAATACAGGAGAAAGCAACACACACTTATAAGCAAATGGAAACGCTCTCAGCTCTAAGAACCCACCTTCAAACTGCTTCAAAAAGGACCCATAAACATTTTAGAAGAATTGAATTCTTACTGACTTGGTTTATAAAGTTAATGTATTTCAAAATACCCTCCCTGGGGAAGCAGCTAAGTGATAAATGCTTTTCTTAAATCCACACAGAGCATTTCAGCACGAGCAGGGCTGTCTTGCAGCTCACAGCTTCTCAGTGAACGTGGCTGAGGGACACACAGCGTGTTTCGACTTAGTGACCAGCCCTGGGCAGTTCCCCCGCCTCTCCTCAGCAAGGTGCAGAAAGAGCTCCCTGGTGATGGCCATTTTCAACGCATCAACCATGAAGTTCTGCAGGGTTAGGTCTACTCGCAAACGCCCCCATGGCCAGGAGGTCAGGGTCAACGGTGACTTATTAAGTCATCAAGATCAGGAAGGTCGTGACTAAGGTACCTGTTGTTACTCACCAATTCCATGTAGTTTCCAAAGAAAAAAGAATTGTGCAACTTTTCTCCAAGGCAGCCAATTACCTCCTTTTTTCTCTATGTGATTGTTCTCTCGACTGTGTTTTCCACTTACCTTCGCTCTGGTGAGCACTCAAAGGCAGCAATGCCAAGAGGAATGATGTCTGAAAGACTGCCATGGGCGCCATAGGTTCTGGTTTCCTGAAAAAAATAAATAAATAAATAAACCACAAGGAAAGGAAAGTTTATGTAATTTTGGCTCGGGCGAGTTCCTGTGAGCCAACTGTGGTAGAGGATGGCATTAAAGTTGCCATTCTTCTCCCCTCCCTGTATCCACGCCCATTGTCACGTGACTCTGGATTCCCACTCAGTAAGAAGGGCACATGTCCCCACTCACGTGACTTGCTTTGGCCAGAATGAGGCCGGAGTGATGGTGTGCGTTTGGAGCCTAGGCCTAAAGAGACCTATGTATTTCTGCTTGCTCTTTTCCATTTCCACCTTTGGCACGAAAAGAACATTTCGGGGCTACCCCACTGGAGCCACGAGGAGAATGAGCAACCAGGAAGCAGAGCTGAGTCACCCCAGCTGGGCCAGTCCAGCCCAGCTCAGCCAGAGGCCGCCACACCCAGCCACCACCAGCTGATCCCAGACCGGAGAGCAACGCTGTCTGTCACTCAGGCTCCGTGGCAGGAGCTAACTTATCCACCAATTTCTTCAAAGCAAGCCAAGGGTTGGTAAAGAAGGGCAAAGAAGCCCTAGCCAGTTTGGCACAGTAGGTAGAGTGTCGGCCTGCAGACTGCAGGGTCCCGGATTTGATTCCAGTCAAGGGCGCATGCCTGGGTTGTGGGCTCGATCCCCAGTAGGGGGTGTGCAGGAGGCAGACGATCAATGATTCTCTCTCATCAGTGATGTTTCTAACTCTCTCTCCCTCTCCCTTCCTCTCTGAAATCAATAAAAATCTATTTTTTTACAAGAAGAAGGGCAAAGCAAGGAAACAGAAGTTAAATATAAAAGACCGACGGATTAGAAAGAGAACAAAGGCCAGTCTCAACAGGGCTGAATGTGAATTACTTGTCAGGAACTCATCGTCCCTCTTCCCGTCCCCTCAGTAAAGTCACACCTGGGAAGAGTGAACACATTCCACCTACGGGGACTGCGCTTCTCTGTTCAAAACGAGTTCCCGTTCTCCTCGCCTTCGGAGAGGGTTTCAACCACCAGCCACAGAGCATCCTGATTCACCAGGGCCTCTGACCACGGGGCAGTCGGGGGCAGGAGAACGGGCCTGGATGACCCCGAGGGGCCAACGCGCTCTTAATCCAACCAGCAGTGTGTTAGGGGGAGCACCGGCTTTTCTACCTCAAATGTGACTCATCGCAGAGAGAGGCATTGGGACAGTGCAAGGTCAGAATTTGCCTCTGTCTGGCCACCTGGCTTTCGGCCAGCCCTGGAGAGTCAATGAACCAGACTGTCAATTCTCACTACCCACACTCTAGTTATTTTTTTAAATATATTTTATTGATTTCAGAGAGGAAGGGAGAGGGAGGGATAGAAACATCCATGATGAGAGAGAATCACTGATCAGCTGCCTCCTGCACACCCCCTACTGGGGACGGAGCCCACAACTCAGACATGTGCCCTGACCAGGAATCGAACCGTGACCCTCAGGTTCATAGGTCGACGACGCTCAACCACTGAGTGACACTGGCCGGGCTCAAGTTATTTTTTAATAGTATTTACAGGTAAATGGGATTGACAGTGGAGACAGGAAGAGGGTAAACCCAACATTAAATGACTCTACTGCAGTCAAACCTGCCTACAGGTGAGCTGAGCCCAATTGCAACGGCAGCGGAAGTCTGCGGACGACAACCTTTGCTCACATTCTTTGAAGCATGGCTCTCTGCTACTTGCACTTGGCCAACAGGTCATCCACACCTCTCTAAAGTCTGCACTTTCAACTTCAAATAGGTTCCTATTGCAACTGGATATAAGGTCAGGGAGGCGAGGACTCATGTCAGAGAAACAGTTTCTGCTGAGAAACAAAGGGAAGCCCAGGAAAATGCCAAGGAGAAGTGTGTGGCGTCACCCAGGGCACAGGCGCCCCCACCACCCCTGCAAGGAAGTCTCATCTGTGATTCCAGGCAGAGAATTCAGGAGGTGACAGGCACACAGCCCCATGTCCTCCGCATGAAAGGCCTGTTTAACATGTTTACAAAAAGGTGGCGTCTAGCAGAGCCGATATTTTACATGTTGCAAAATTAAGTCACAGGGGTAGAGAAATGGAAAACCCAAAGTTAGAAGCCGCCTCCCCATTAGGGGTAAGCAGAAATTAAAGAATAAAAACTGTCATATAGCACAAGTGAAGTACGTAAGTACTGAGGAAGGACGCATTGCCATGGCCTGGGTGTGACGGCAAAACGCAGGAACCACCGGGACCGTGTTGCCTGAAGGCCTGCCTCTCCCGCCGGCTCACACGCAGCAGGTTGGGCCTGGGGGCAGCTCAGCGGCAGCTCAAGCTTTGCTGTGTTTATTTCTATCCGTGTGACGTGCACAGTTTTACGCATGCTGGGCAGGTGGCAACCGTGACCTGCAGCCACTGCCCGCACACCAGCCACGTGGCTGTTTCTTCCCTGGTGTCACCGCACGGCCACCACCTCCGCATCTCTTACAGAAGGACCACACACTCCGGCTTTTGTCAGAAAACCTCCTGGTAAAACCGACAAAGTTCACCGAAACGTGCAGAATGAGCCTCAGCAGCTGGAACACTCCAGCGATGCTCGTGGAACCCCCTTTGGGAAATGCCCTGTGAATGGTTTTCCCAGCAGCACAGAGGCTCACGCTGTGGGACAAGCACAGCCCTCCCGGGCTCAGAGCGGGCTGCTTACAAGTCCCAGGTGACTGACTGCACAACCCACGCGGCCCCCTCCACGCCTCGTGCATAAATCCTCCCAAGTTCTCAGTTCAGAGGGTCCAGCTGTTTGCTGATGGGCCCCTGACCAATAGGGAAAAGCCTAGAAGTGAGGGAGCGACCTGTGCAAAGTTCCTGGGGCAGGCGAGGGCTTGGCAGTGTGGAGGGCGGAGGAGCCAGGCCTGGGAGTGAGCAAGGAGGGGAGGGGCAGTGGGGGAAGCTGGGGCCCGCAGAGAGGAGAGAAACCAGAGAAACATTTCTGACACTGAGGCTTCCACTCTGGGAAAGAGGGCACCATGCGGCACCTCATGCTCCACCTCACAGGGGCAGGGAGGCCGGGAGAGAGAAGGGACTGCGGGCTGAGGGCAGAGGCAGGGAGGGCAGGGAGGGGGCGCAGCAGCAGTCCGGGAAAACACGCTGGCTGAGACCAGGGTGATGGAGTGGTGGGAATCCCAAAGGGATGGCAAGACAGAGCTGGCAGGGCGTGGTGGTGACCACGTGAGCCAGCATTCGCCGAGCCCCTGGGAGAATGGAATGACAGGAATGGAGAAGCAGAAGAAGAGACTCAGTGGGCTGTGTCAGGGGCTCCACTGTGACATGGAGATGGAGATAGACATCAAGGAGTGAGCTGGTACACGCTAGGAGTTCCTGGGAGGGGTCCTGGCCGGGGTATAAATGCAGGTGCCCTCAGGGCATACATAGAGCCAACAGAGGGAGTGCAGACAGAAAAGAGAGGACCCAGCACAGAGTCCAGGGACATCCCACACCCTATTCTACACCCCCTCATGCAGATCAAAACCAAAATCCAGAATTAGGCCTGGCTTTCCTGCATCGCCTCAAGGGCACGGGCTGTGTGTTGGGATGGGCTAGCCAGCTCCTTCAGCAGCAGGTACAGCCTCCTGCATCAAGTACACTCTCCTGGGTCAGGTACAGCCTCCTGTGTCAGGTACACCCTCCTGCATCAGGTACAGCCTCCTGCGTCAGGTACAGCCTCGGTCA